TTGAGCCTATTGAAAGTTATCTGCTGCAGTGTACTCAACAGTTGTCAAAATCAAATAACGTTAACACGAGAGACCCGCATTGAGCCTATTGAAACTTGAAAGTCAACTGCCATGGGTGTGATTCAACTGTTGTCAAAATCAAACAACGTTAACACGAGAGACTGGTGCACCTGGACTCGGTTGATTCCTTTAAAGTTTAAAGTACATCAAAGCTACCTATTTATGGCGATTGCACCACTAAACGAATTTTAGTTGGGTGCACTTGCACCATTAACCGCCCGATGAAAGTACACCACTAACTCTAACCTTGTTAAGGGTTTAAGTTTTAATTGTAGTATTATTATAATTATTTTTTAATTTTACAATTTTGCATCGTTCAAAAAAAAAAAACTAATTTTAGTTGGAATAGTTATTGTCATGTAAAAATATATTAAAATTATTAATAATTTAAATAGTTTAATAATAACTTTTATATTAATAGTAAAGAATTTTAAATTTAAATTATTTGATATGAAAGTGAGGTGAGATGAAGAATGAATGAAAATTATTTTTTATTATGTAATTTAAAATAATAAAAAATAAAAAATTATATAAGAATGAGAGCCAAAGGAAGGGTCTCAAAAACGAGGGATGCTCGAAGTCTCTATAGTTGGATTCATGGATTGATATTTTAGTCTAATCCATTAAAATGAAGAATGAATGAAAAGTATTTTTTATTATGTAATTTAAAATAATAAAAAATAAAAAATTATATAAGAATGAGAGCCAAAGGAAGGCTCTCAAAAACGAGGGATGCTCGAAGTCTCTATAGTTGGATTCATGGATTAAGTGCCGATATTTTAGTCTAATCCATTAAAATGAAGGATGTAAGCTCGATCCGTGAGGTGTTTCGGTCTATTATAAAAGGAAAGGTAATGAGCTTCCATATAGGTAGTTGGGAGAGTAAGCACATACGAAAACATGATGATTAGTTTTTAACAATATCTTATAAATATGTAAATTTTTTTACTATTAAATTTTAATTTGTAAAATCTCATTTACTATTTTGGTCTTTATGACATTTTTTAAAGCAAATAATGTTCACAAATATGAGTTAAAAGCTAGCATGGCATACATTTTGATCGATTTTTAGTTGGCCAAATCATGTAAATGTTACCCTTGTTCACTTGTCACATGGTAGGCATGAAAGTCCCAACACTTCCAAACCAAAACATTCTGTAATTGCACTCATGGGTTAAGGCTTTGTTTGCCGTAACATCTCACAAATCTTGTTTTATACAGCATCTTATATAAAAATATAAGTTTTTAAATTTTAATTAATCTTAATTAATTTTTATATATTTTTATTGATTTTAATTGATATTTTATATATTTTTAAGTGATAAGCAGATTAAAAAGAAAAAGAAAAAAAACCTACTACTATAACACAACACAACATCACCAAACCAATTCTAATATCATGTTTGAGTTGCGTTCAGGAAGGAGAGGGAAATTTTATCCTTTCATTCTCCTCCCTTCCCTTTATTTAGATAAATTAACAAATTAAAATTAAAAGTAAATAAAAGAAAATTTTTTCCTTCTCTCTCTTCTAATTTTTTTAATAACTGAATAAAGAAAAATTTTACTTTTCCCTCCCCTCTATTCATCTCAACTCAATCAGGTAGTAAGTGTCTATATTAGTCTAGTCCATTAAAATGATCGATGTAAGCTTGGCCCGTGAGCTGTTTCGGTCCATTAAAAAGTCCAGTCCATTGAAGCAAAATGTTAGATCGATCCAAACCCATTTTCCGAAGAGAATGAACCCAGTAAAAAAGCCCAACCAAAGCCTCCAATCCAAAGAACCGAAGAACTCAATTAGCAGCAGCCATTTACCGTAAACAAAACACGGTTTTCTTAGGAAAATAAATGGCTTAATTTAATTTTTAGTTTATTAACTATCACCTTGATTTCATTTTAGTCTAAAAACTATGTTTTATTTTTAAGTGGTCTATTAATTTTCAAATTCATTTCAATTTCATCTACTTGGTCAAAGATAACGGAGAACTTCCTATTCGTTAGAGAACAGTTAGTCTTCTAACTATATTTTTTTTATCTTTTAGTCCTCAAATTTATATTTGTTATGAAAATAGTTTTTATACTTAAAATTATTATTTTTAGGTTTTGATACCAGATTTTTATTCAGGTTTTCAGAATTTAATTCAGTGAATTTAAGATGGGGTCGGTATTTGTTAACAGTCTAGTAGATCTAATTCCACACTAACTGAGCTTAACATACTAGCTATTCACTGAGTTAAGTTCTGAAAACTCAAATAAAAATGTGGTATCAGAGTTTGAAAATAATAATTTTAAATATAAAAGCTGTTTTTATAATAAATATAAATTTGAGAACTAAAAAATTAAAAAAATATAGTTAGAGGACTAACTGTTCTCTAACATAATAAGAAGTTTTTCGTTATATTTGTACAAGTAGATGAAATTGAAATAAATCTGAAAGTTAATAAATCACTTAAAAATAATAACATAGTTTCTAAACTAAAATGAAATGAAATCGTGATAGTTAATAGAATAAAAATTGAATTAAGCCGAAAATAAATAGAGAAAGGTTCTCTCAAATTTTGACCACAGCCATCGGAGACAGGAGCATTACCGTCGCCGCCGTCGATTGCAGTGAATATTTCTCTCCGGCATAGAAGTAGGCTTTCGTCTCGCTTTCTATTTCTCAGGCAGACGGAGAACTCATCGCTGATTTTGACCAGATTCGAGATCGGGGAGGACGGAGTTTTCATCTGCAGGGATTTGTATTGCTAATTAGATGGGAAATATATTCGTGAAGAAGCCCAAAATCACCGATGTAGATGGAGCAATTCTCTTTCAAAACTCAAAGGCGGAAGCTTGGGCAATATCAGCAGCAGGTCTTTCCTTCAAATTTCCTTTTTTCTTTTAATGCGGAATGCATAATTTTTGCTATACTTTCATTGTTTTTGATTGCATGCGGTGAGAAATTAAAAAAGAAAAGAAAAAACTGAATTTGCTTTAATGCATCTGTTTAAATTGCGTATGAATAAGTAATTTTCATTTTTTATATAAATTCTGTCTGTCTTCTGCTCTTTTCAGCTTGGAACTGTGATAGAAGCAGAAAAGCAAGCCGCCAGGAATCAAGTAGAAAGGATAGAGCCTTGTTAGCATTGAATAAGAAAGTTGACACATGGCTCATCAACGTCGAGCAACAAGTAAATTATTGTACCCATTTGTACAAATGTGTATTATTTAGATTGTTTCAATCTTTTTTTTCGTGATGGTTTTGTGACAACAGGTGTATGGCGTACCCGATATCCCCCGGCATTGGTTTAACTTTATCCTCTCTTTCTTGTTTGTATTGGTGG